TCAAACCCAGGGCTTCATGCATACTAGGCAAGCACTCTACTGCTAAGCCACATTCTCAGCCCCCAAGAAACTCTTATTATCAGAAAAAAGCTGGTAGAGGTATGGGGGTCAGGTGGTAGAGCACCAGCCTTGAATGAGAGAGCTAAGGGATAGCACCAAGGTCCTGAGTTCAAGACCCAGTACTAACATACACACACACACACACACACACACACATACACACACACAGACCAAATACATGAAGATTCAATAAGGACTCTTCTGCTAACACTTTGAAATAACTGTGTAGGAGATAGATTTTGATGTAAAAACAACTTTATATTTTATTTCTTGAAATATGTTCATCAGTTGAGTTGAAGGTTTAGATGGTCCAACTTGCTCTGACATAAATCTGAACAGACCCCCCCCAATTCTTGTCAAATGAATGCTTTTAAAGATTGGCTTATCATTTTGCACTTAAGACAATTCATTCATCAGAGCAGATGCTTAACAACAATGTAACTTCAAAAACAATCCCACAAGAAAAGGTTTCTGTGGGTACAAAACAGATTTGTACCAAATTGGTGTAGCATATACTTAAAATTACATATTTACAAAAAGGGAAAGAAATTAAAATGCACTGATATATATACATATATACATATATATATATATATACATATATATATATATATATGCATGTATGTATTCTTGACTTTAGAGTTAAGATCAGGTCTCATTGCCTATGGAATACAAAAGAGTCAACGGTAACTCCATTGCTGTTAAGTTATAAATTACTAAATGATAGAAACAGTCGACTCCAAAGGAAAATGCACTTTTTTTTTTGGTTAGTAACCCACTTAGTATAACAAATCTAAAGTTAGAAAAGCCACTTTTCTGAAGGCACAGTTTGTTTCTAGGTCAACTGTGGACATGGAAATCTGTCTTGAAGATGATTTAATAAGAATGAGTGAAATGGCCTCATCTGGGGTGCCAAAGCTTGTCCCATACACAGCCTCAGTCCTCACGTGTCTCGTTTAGATGTTTTCTGATTCCAACTGTCATGTGATAAAGATTCTGGATCTCCCCAGATCTTCCTTTTGTTTTCTGTGAAAATATAAGCTAATTTGCTTCATAAAGTAGCATCAGCAACTTTGTGGGCTTGGGAGTAGATGAAGGCCCAGCAGGAAGCTATTGGCAGGCATTAAAAGCACAGGGACAGACCCTTAGCAGAAGCCTTATAGAAGGGTCTAAAGAAGAACAGGAAAAAAATAGATGAGGCCTTTAAGGTATTATAGGAAGACAAGATTTCAAGAAAAGTGAGGGCCATTCTTCTTTCATGTGCTTAAGGCTAAAAAACAAAACAAAACAAAACAATAAAGCTGTATATCAGTGGCTTAAACTTATAATCCTAGCTACTCAGAAAGCTGAGATCTGAGGAGCTCAGTTTGAAGGTAGTGGGAAGAAAAGTCTGAGAGACTCTATGTTCAATTAGCCAGAAAAAAATGCTGGAATGAAGCTGGGTGCTGGTAGTTCATACCTGTAATCCTAGTTACTCAGAAGCTAAGATCTGAAGATCACAGCTCAAAGCCAGCCCAAGCAAGAAAGGCTGTGAGACTCTTATCTCCAATCAATCAGCAAAAATGCCTGAAGTGGAGCTGTGGCTCAAGTGGAAGAGTATCAGCCTTTAGCAAAAAAAGCTCAAGGACAGCACCCAGGTCCAGAGTTCAAGTTCCATCGAGGTCCTAAGTTCAAGCTCCACCCAGGCCTTGAGTTCAAGCCCCAGGACCTGTACACACAGCAAAAAATGCTGGAATGATGACTTGGCTCAAGTGGTAGAGTGCCAAGATGAGTGAACAAACAGAATATGAAGCCCTGAGTTCAAGTCCCAGCACAAAAGATAAAAAACAAAAACAACAAACCCAATTAAAATAGCCCACTAAAACAGAAATGGGGTAGGGATTGACTTCTTTAACAAAAGAAAGAGAAGGTGCATAAAATGTTACTTTGCTTCGAGACAGATATTCCAAAATGCAAATGGAAGTCTAGTCATGAAAACAGTTGGCAGTAGCCTTTAATGTACTTACTTAGGGCTGAGGTATAGTGATTAATCTCCAAGAATCTTTGCCTGGTGGTAATAAAGTGGAACTATCTATTTTATATGATTTGTTTCCTTTTCTTGGTACTGGGGTTGAGACCCAATTCCTCTGGCTTTCTTAGTGAGTGTTCTACCACTGAGCTATAGCCTAGTCTAGCTCTGCATTCTCATTTCATGTATTTGAGCAGTCTTTATATGAAAGAGCCCCATGAATTACCTACATAGAAGTTTTGTTTGGGTTGGGTGTTACACTTAACATTTTCCTTTGTGCTGGTGGTATAACTGAAATGGTAGACATCTGCCTAGTAAGTGTGAGGCTCTGAGTGGAAACCCTAGTATCCTTTTTTTTTTTTTAAACATTATCCATAACAACACTAGTTTACTTGATTAAACAAACCAACCAACCAAAACATGTCCATTACCTTTAATCAAGGCCTCACACCCCGTGAGAATAGATGTAGGTTAGGATAGATAACGATTAGAATTCTTTTTTTTTTTTTGGCCAGTCCTGGGGCTTGAACTCAGGGCCTGAGCACTGACCCTGAGCTTTTTGCTCAAGGCTAGCACTCTACCACTTGAGACATAACACACCACTTCTGGCTTTTTGTATTTATGTGGTGCTGGGGGTGGAGCCTAGGGCTTTATGCATGCTAGGCCAACACTCTACTACTTAGCCACATTCCCAGCCCAAGATTAGAATTCTTGAGGTGACTAGCACATGATATGACCAGGGTTTACAGGAAGCTGTAAACCTATTGTTTTAGGATGTCCTAAAACAATAGGAGGCTGTCCCTATTGTTAGGAAGATTGAATATTGTGAGATAGGAACTTTCACAAATTGCTAAATAAATTCTAACATACTGTTGTCCCCCATGCTTTCATTCTTTTCCTTTTTTTAAAAAAATCAGTGTTATAGATTGAAGCTACCATTAGCTTACTAATGGTAGGCAACGGCTCTATTGGTGATCAACACCTCCAGTGATTATAGCTCTTTAAAGAGGCTTTCTGTACCAGAAGCTGGTGGCTCACACCTGTAATGCTAGCTATGCAGGAGGCTGAGATCTGAGGATTGTGGTCCAAAACCAGCCTGGGAAAGAAAGTCCATGTGATTCTTAACTCCAACTAGCTACTAGAAAGCCAGAAGTAGAGCTGTGGCTCAAAGTGGTAGAATGATAGCCTTGAATAAAACAGTGCCCAGGCCCTGAGTTCAAGTCCACTGACTGACAAAAAAAAAAAAAGTCTTGTTGGGCTTTGAGAGACTGTTTATAGGATGTAGAGTCCAAAGGAAAACATGAAGAAAGGCCAGTACCCATAGACTAGTACTGCGTCTTATGGTGGAAGGCACTGTTACTTATATATTATTTTCTGACCTGTCTTGTTATTAAAATCAGTTTCCTTTGCCATCCTTAAAATAGCTTAATTTTAAAGAAAGTCCAGGGATTTGTGGCTCCAATTATTTTGTTGGAGGTACTGATATAAATCAGTTTTAATGTGCCAATCAATGTTATTTTTATTTCTTTGATTTTTTTGAAACAAGGTGTGGTTATGTAGCCCAGGCTGGCCAATTTCCCTGTAGCTCAGGCTGGCTTTAAACTTGCGATCATTCTGGGGCTGGGAAGGTGGCTCAGTGGTAGAGCGATTGCCTTGCATGCCTGAGGCCCTGGGTTCGATTCCTCAGCACCACATAAGAAAAAAGAAAAAAGCCGGAAGTGGCGCTGTGGCTCAAGTGGTAGAGCACTAGCCTTGAGCTGAAGAGCTGAGGGGCAGCGCCCACGCCCAGAGTTCAGGCCCCACGACCGGACCCCCCCAAAAAAAATAAATTTGCGATCATTCTGTCTCTGCCTCCTAAATGCTGGGATTACAGGTACACTCTATGAGACTTGGCAAGATATCCAATTATTGCTTGTAAATGTTTCCTTTTGCAAAATAAAAGGGATGAACAAAGTGAGCCTAGTTAAAATGGTATTTGGGTGTTTTTTTTTCCCTTTTTCTTAGTGGAATTCATTTTATAGAAGGTCAGCAACATTTATGGAGTACCAGTTGTAACACTGGTGGCAGAGAACCAAGTGATTCAGATGTTACTTTGTAGGAAGTGCAGAAGACTGATTGGAAGTCAGGAGACCCTAGGCACTAAATAAACACTGCCTTACTGTGGTCTTGCAGTGGTAACTCTCAGAGGGGCACAGAGGACTCAAGGAAGAAAGACTATTGCTTGATTATATCTGTGATACTCCATTCTTATTAACTCTACAGGGCTCCTATCAGTCAACCAGGTGGCTTTGAGCCAGTGGAGAATCTGTTCCTAACCACAGATGAAGCAAATGAGATAACAGCAGGTGGGAGGCAGGGTTCAAACTTTTTTCTAGGCATGATGCTCTAAGCCTTCCTATAAGGTGTGCCAAGGCTGGAAGGCAGGAAAGGAAGAGGTGACATCTGTCAATAAAAGACTAGCCAGGTGCTGGTGGTACATACCTAGGCTGAGATCTGAGGACTGCAGGCAGGAAAATTTGTGAGACTCTTATCTCCAATAAACTATTCAGAAAAAGCCGTAAGTGGCACTGTGGATCAAGTGGTAGAGCACTAGCCTTGAGCACAAAGAGGCTCAGGGATAGCACCCAGGCCCTGAGTTTAAGCCCCATGACTCACAACAAAACAAAGAGCAAATTAGTCTGCATCTTACATTGATCCTTTTTCGAAATTCAGTAAATGAGGAAATAGAGGTGGCTGGTAAGACTGAAATTCTATCCACATCTTTCCATCCACTCATGAAAGTGAGAAATGTAACTTCTTTACTCCTTCCAGCCCCATAGTATGTGGAGTTCAGACTAAAATCTTTCAGGAAATTCAGCTGAAAGAATTTTGGAAGGTGTTGGCCTTAAGAAAAAGTGGAACACACATTTCTTCATTACAACAACAACAAAAATCTCTTAAAATTCACTCTATTAGAACATGTGCAAACATATGTTAATCACATACTAAATAATAAGTAAAATTTCTTGGGAATTTGAAGAGAGATCTTTTGAAATCTTTTCATCACCATGGAAATCTTTTCACCTCTGTCTTCTAGAGTTGTCGAACTTTTCTTTCTGTGCCTTTTATATTGATATCTAATTTTTCCACTTTGTTTGTCAGTCGGTCCAGAATGTCATCCTGCTCCTCAATTTCTGTCTGCATCCCCAGGGCTATGTCCTTCAGACGGCCTAGTCCCACGGATAGCTCATCTGTGAGAGAAGGAAATGACAGGCGGGACTGAGTAAAAGTAATCATGGCACCTACAAATTCATTAACCTTTCCAGGTTAGCGACATATGGATTATGTAGTCCTCTGTGTTTAAGACAGGGTAAGTTCTAGGGCTTTGGTTATATTTTCCAAAATATGGAGTAGTGAAAAGAAAATCTGTTACTCACTAAAAAATAATATGAGCCTAATGTAAAAGCCATTTTCCATCCCTCCCCAGAATAACCAACTATTAATAGTGTTTGTTTTTCTAGTGTCTTCCCCTTCCATCCCAAGTTCAACTTGATCAAACCAAAGGCATAGGAGAGACAGGCACTCTACTATTTTTTTTTTGGTCGGCCGTGGGGCTTGAACTCTGGGCCTGGGCGCTGTCCCTCAGCTCTTCAGCTCAAGGCTAGCACTCTACCACTTGAGCTACAGCACCACTTCCGGTTTTTCTGGTGGTTATTGGAGATAGGAGTCTCACGGTCTCTCCTGCCCGGGCTGGCTTTGAACCG